GTCAATTTAGTTGTATCGTAATAGTACATGTCCAATGACAGTGGGGTCTCGACCCACCCCTTCCCATCCGACACTAACCCGTCAGCAGACCACCAGTCTAGTGCGGTACCGATAATGCATGATAATGATATGGAAGTAGAGGCATCACCATCACCACCACCAGCTGTGCCTCCGAGCCCCTACAGCGCTCCACTGTTAGGAGAGGCCTCAGCTGGGGTACTGGTACCACCCTTGGAAAGGGCAGCCCAGATGGTAGAGGAGGAGGGTTCTTCCCCCGTTACGGTTGGAGCTCCTTATGGAGCCCTGGTCACTAACCTTGCCAACTTGCAGCAGCAGCAGCAGAGTCCCCCGGCCCCTCGGCCACCGCAACCGTCTGAGGCGCCTATTAGTCCGACTCCTGCGGTCAGTCCTCCCTCGGTTGGTCTCGACGACGAGGATGAGGAGCAGAAGTTGATGTTATCCTTACTAGGGGTGGATCCGCAAAACGCGGTGGACCCATCCCTAGTTGAGGAGAGCAAGGCACCTATATCCCTAGTGGGACCATCCGAGACGGCGAACCCTCCAGCGGCAGACCACCACCACGAGAAGCCAGATGTAGTTGATGAGCAGCAGCAGGAGGAGGAGGAGAAGAAGGTCGAAGCGAATGTAGTTGGTCCCGTGTGGAGGCCCAAGGTGCCCTTTGTGGAACAAAAGGTCGAGGCTGCTGAAGCCAAGACCGTTCCTGGTAGTGACCTACTACGACATGGAGGTATGAAGGTGCAAGAGGACGGCTCGGTGGTCCGCAACAGAGAGGTATCCTCCACTGGGGCGGAGTTTGTCCGGTGCGCGGAGTGTGGTAAGTGGCGACTAAGGCCCCGGTGCGAGGGGGGGCCTGATGGGTCCAGAGCCACTTGTAGTTCCTTCGTGGCCACCTCCTGTGATGACCCATGCGACTGGATTACTTCAATGTTGGATGCGGTGGAGCTGCTGCCTCTGATCCCTCTGCCACTCGAGAAGACGAG